GAGTTATCAGCCCTCATTGGAGTTACACAATTGTTTCATATTGCTTATCACCCACAGGCTGCGGGGCAAGTGGAACGCATGAACCGCATCATTAAAAGTGAGCTAAGAAAGGGAGTGGAAATGGGAGGAAAAAACTGGTCACAGTTACTGCCCTTTATCTTAATGAGAATAAGGGTCAGAGAATCAAAGGGCACAGGCTTTTCTCCATATGAGGCTCTCATGGGAAGGCCCATGGAACGGTTGGAAAATCTACTTACCCCAGTACCTGGGGAAGTCACTACACATGGTTTAACACAAGAATGGATTTTAACTCTAATTGATCGTGTAAAACAGTTACAGCAGGCGTTGGCCTGGCGAGACAAGCAAGGAGCAGCAAGGAGAGTCAAAGCATGGTATGACCTGCCCGGGGAGCGTGATCTACCCACGGTGGGAGATCTAGTGATGTACAAGATTCCAGGTCACCACCATCCATTCCCAGCTCCTAAATGGAAGGGCCCCTATCTTGTCCTTGACCAATTAGAGCCCAGCCTGCTATTACTGGGTACAGAGAATGGAGGACGGGAGTGGATTCACTGCACACAAATAAAAAGGTACAAACAGGGTATTGGAAAGGGGATGTGTAAAATTTCTTATGTGTGTATTACAGGTTAATTCAAAAAGGAGAAAATGATGAAAATTCCCTGGCCCTGAATGGAACAATTACTAGTACTAATCATAATTGTCACATTTACAAATTCTATTCAGCTCCCACGATGTGAAGTGTCAAAAGGAGGAAACACATGAACGGCTACACATGCAACCTGTGGTAATAAAGCTAACGAAGACTATGAAAATCTCCCCATAGAAAGATGTACCACTAATACTCCAACAGGAATTTGGCAGAGTCAGTATATGGTTTATGGATTAGATGGGGGAATCCCAACCCTGTGGAGCATATCATTTTTATCAGGAAATATTGCATGGTACTCCGTGGGTGCTGCCATGATTAATGATAGTGGAAAACACAGTTACCCAGCTATGTGGTTTGTTACAGAGGGTCCAAAGAATACAACCCTCTGGTCTCCTGCAGCAAATGAACCCTCTTGGGAAAATAGGGCCCTACATTTAGGGTGTGATGTTACCATATGAAACCACAATAGTACTTCCATGGAAGACAATCCCCAAAGGTGTGATTGTTATGTACATATTACATTGGGCGTAAAATCCCCTTTGGGACACTGATGAGTTAACCATTTTACAGAATGTAACCCTATAGGTGATATGGATGCCAAGTTAGAAGAATCCAAATTTAAAGTGGCCACAGCCTGGAGCCAAGAATATTCCCCAACGAGCAAATGTATGGGAGCCATTGTGGGAGCGGGTGGAGCAGCACTTTTTAACGTGTCCTTTCACTCTATTACATGGGTGGTACGCCCCAAGGAATGGTGGGTGGATCAAATTCATCCTAATTGTAGTATGTACATAAAAGGATTAAAACAACAATTCAATTGGTGGGTGAGGGGATACACCTGGAATCGTTGTTGAAAAGGGGATTGTGGGCAGCGGGGAACGCTATGCTGGGTACATGGAATCTGGGGGACAAGTGGGTAACCAAACAATTAGTAAGCCAAAATGTGAGATTTCAACAACAAATTAATTAATTAATTAATGGCACAGCAACTATCAGCAGTTGCCCAGGGTGGAGGACAGCAGTAGAGGTAAAATTGCAGTTAACTCATTGGGCAGGGGACCTGGTAACATGGGTCGGGGATGGCTTCAGAAGAATAACAGGGGGAGAGGTGTGTGTAGGTATTCAAAATACTCAGTTAATAATGTTAATGGATATTATAAGAGATGCTTGGTCAGAACATTGGCCTTCAGTATTAAATCGGGAGGCTAGCCCATATTTATCCACAATTGCAAAAACATACCCATCTACCTGGAAAATAACATCCCTGACCTGTGGGGACAGTTCTTGTGTAATTGTTACTATGATACCATGGGAAGGAAATGCAAATAAGGTGGTCCCCTTGAACCCTATGGGAGTAACTAGGGAAGGGGGATCCTGTTGGGAGCCACTAGGAAATAGGTGGGGGGAGTGGAATGGGGTTAAATTGGACTGTCATCACATTAAGCAGTTGTATATCTAGAGGAGGAATATGGATGTGCCCCTCCTATGACTGTGGAGGAGCAGGATCAATGGTCTATTGCAAAGGGGGGGGGGCATTTAGGGGTAATGTATATGGGGGTACGGTGTAGTCTGTTGGGAATGTATGCAGTCCTGCAATATAACACTAGGTGGCAAAATCCTTCCAGTATATGACCAAATTATGAACTTCTATACACTGCCACCTGGACTATGGTGCACCAATGGATCAGTGGACTTAATCGTTGTAAACAGTCGAACCAGCACCTACTACCCCATGGCACAGCAAACCAAGTAGTTGAATTGGTTTGGACAATACCAAATTTCACCGTGGATATTCAATGGACACACAATATGGACAAGAGTACACAAAGATTACAAGAGCAACTTGCTGCAAGCACCAACAGTTGGACACTGTACAATACACACTACAGGATAGCGCTGACAAAATTTTAACCCTATCAAAGGAAGAGAAGCAGTGTTTTTGGTGGTGGCCAGGATGCTGTACCATACTGCAGTGGTTAGGACTCTCGGTGTTGTTGTGGATTATCATAGCAGCCGGTGTATTGTTAACTCTATTTCTGTTACGTTGTATATGGAAACGATCAAGGGGGGCACAACCCCCTAGAGAACAGCCACTAATTATAACCTATAAGTAATGTAGTAAGCCCTCTTCCCCCCCACCGTGTACTAAACAACCCGGAACCAACCTTCTCATGCCTTCTATGATGGGAAGTTTGGAACACTAATTGGAATCGGTGTGGTATGCCCGTAGAAGAGAAGGTGCAGGGCACGGTATTACACAAGGGGCAGTGGGACAGATGGAATATCGACACCATCCACCTTGATGCCTGGCCCTATCAGGAAATGTGTCGCCATATGGCCTATGCTTTTCCAGGGATACCTGGGCAGCAGGATCCCAAAAGAAAAAAAAAAAAAAGGGGTAGGAGTGTTAGGATATAGATATTCAGGCCTGTCTGTAAAGGCCTACACTTTAAGAATTTAGGTATATGTTTATCATTTAGCTAGTTATAGAGGTATAAAAGAAAGAATCAAAATCACTGTCTGCCTGTGTAAGGGCCTTCTCTCACTGACAGTCTGAGGCCCTGTTCTTAAGCTAAGGCCTTTGGCTCAGCCAGGGGTGGCCAGCCTGTGGCTCTGGAGTCACATGCGGCTCTTCACAAGTTAATATGCGGCTCCTTGTATAAGAACCGACTCCGGGGCTAGAGTTACAGGTGCCAACTTTCCAATGTGCCGGGGGGTGCTCACTGCTCAACCCCTGCCCCTCCCACAGGCCCTGCCCAAACTCCACCCCTTCCCCTGCCGTGCCCTCGCTCCTCCCACTCCCCCCCCAGAGCCTCCTGCATGCCACAAAACAGCTGATGGGGAGGGAAATGGAGGCACTGATTGGCGGGGCTGCTGGTGGGTGGGAGGTGCTGGGAACAGGGGTTGGAGCTGATGGCGGGCTGCTGACATATTACTGTGGCTCTTCGGCAATGTACATTGGTAAATTCTGGCTCCTTCTCAGGTTGGCCACCCCTGGGCTAAGCAGTGGG